ATCTAGATGAGATTTAATATGTACATCTCAAAGGTATAGGGAAAGAATGCAAGTTCCTCCAAGAGGGACTTTGGTTTCCTAAGGCCAGGGTTTTTACAATATTTTCAAGCCTTTTGAGATAAATAGGGGAAGTTTTAGGATTGGTTGAAAGGTGTAGGTGAACTTTGAATTGCCTCTTGAGCTTCATTTCCAGTTTTGCAAAGATTTGTAAAATAGGGAGACAGTTACTCTCAATTGCTCAAAGAATTGGGTTGCAGCTGAAATGCTATAGGTTGATCCACCCATTATCTTCAATTTGCTTTATTTATATCTAGCTTTGAAAGGTCTTAGTAAATCCTTTTAAAAAGGCTTCACAAGGGTTTTCTTTCCTTCTGTGTAGTTTCATTTTGGCTTAGGGAAGGAGGCCTAAAAGAAATTTCCATCAGGCTTTCAATTTCTGGCCAACTTCTGACCATAGACCTACTAAAATAATCCTTTTAAATATCTTGTCATTTTTTTAGTGGGGACAAACAATAAATATTCCTGGCAGTATTACACAGTACCCCTTGGATATAAGAGGGGTCCCCAAAGAGGGTGCAAAGACTATTACGTTCCTAAGATCCAGAATCTTTCCCAAAGGCAGCCAGAAGAACCAACAACCTAACCTGCATGACCCAACCAGGCAGAAAATCAAGCCAAGTTCTTAGAACACAAAACAAGACAAGCAAGAAGGCAAATATCTATCCCTGGGAGAGAGGATCAATAATCAATGGGTCCAGATTTGGAAAGGAAGGAACAGTGTGAAATTTTATTTTCCTCTCTTGACTGGGCATTACAGACAGAGATTTTGAAGCGTTGTTTCTACTAAGAATTCTCACTTATTGCTGGCTTCTGCCAGTTTTCCCAGGATCCCCTCTACAGGTTCTGGTATCTACCAGAATTTGGCAAGGTTTTCATTGATATTAATTTGTTTTGCTTGGCTGTTTAAGGGAATAATGTAGCAGTTTATGAGAAAATCCCTCAGTTTCATCAACTCTGGAAGGGGCCCATATGGGAACCCTCCTTTGAGGGTAGATATGAGGGCATTCAAGTTGATGATAAAGAATTTGCATAGGGATATTATAAAAGTCTATATGAACCATTTTAATAAAGGTCTTCTTACTGAGTGCACAATTTAACCTTGGACTAATTCACCTTTGGGGGGGAAAAAGCCTCAATTCCTTCTGTCAGCTACTAACATCAACCCGCAGCTGATTCTTTACAGGAAGGCCTAGGAAAAAATCGCGTTATTTCTTTTCTCTGTGAGGGGAAAGTTGCCATCTGTCTTGTCTGATAATTACGGTATAACTGTGGGTAGAAAGAATATGCCTTAGCAGCTAATATGGTTGCTGTGAGTAGGGTTCCAACTCCTCTCAAAATCTGGTGTAGATCGTCTGACAGTGGAGGGAAAAGAGCTTTATACTTTAAAAGATCTGACCAGAGAACATGAATACTTTGTGGTGTCGGGGGTCCACACAGGACATTGCATAGGAAGGCCTAAAGTTACCAGAGCCTGATGGTAGAACCCTGGAGAGTAGGAGGAGTTAGAAGGGACTGCAAAGCAAGCCTACTACCTTTCTCTGGTACTTCTGCTGAAATCACTTCCTGACTTTCAGTATTTACACGGCCTGGAGGTCAGGCTGGAATGCTTTCTGTAAATCTTGTAGGTAAAGGGAAACTAAGACAGACAGGGCTAATTTTGAGAGGGGGAATTTACATTGAATGTGAACTTTAATTTCTGCCTTAAGTCTGATTCTGCTTTCATCTTGTTTAAGGGAGTCCTAACGCTTAAATTCCTTTGTGTCCTCTTTTTAATTTGGTCTTTTCATAGGTGCCAGTTAAGATAACTGTTTAGGATGATGAGAGTTTTCCAAAAATTAAATTTTCAAGCTAGAAATCCAATTCAAAGGATCCATTGTCTGACCATTGACAAGTAGGGTCTATCAATTTTAATAGTGACTCAAACCAATAAGCCTCTTATGGCCTAACCATGAATGCAAGAGGCATCCCAAAGGAGAGTGCAAAAAATGCAGTCCTCACAAGATCCAGCCTAAGAAAGCAAAGTCCTTTGTTATAATGAGGTAACTGGTTGACGTGACAAAGGCCCCTTATGGCCTGGGACACATTATGACAAAACTACCCTGAGAGTTGGCACAAAGAAGCTTTACACTGGATCCAGTACAGCCCAAGTCCTGTTTTTTTATTTTTAACTTTTTAATTTTAATTTTTATTAACGTATCATTGATATACTATCTTATGAAGGTTTCACATAAGCAACTTTGTGGTTACTACATTCACCCATATTACCAAGTTCCCCTTCACACCCCATTGCAGTCACTGTCCATCAGTGTAGTAAGATGCTACAGTCACTACTTGTCTTCTCCATGCTGTACTGTCTTCCTCATGAGCCACCTACATTATGTGTGCTAATAATAATGCCCCTTAATCCCCTTATCCCTCCCTCCCCACCCACCCTACCCAACTCCTTCCCTTTGGTAACCGCTAGTCCATTCTTGGGTTCTGTGAGTCTGTTCCTGTTTTGTTCCTTCAGTTTTGCTTCATTGTTATACTCCACAAATGAGAGAAATCATGTGGTACTTATCTTCCTCCACCTGGCTTATTTCACTGAGCATAATACACTCTAGATCCATCCACGTTGTTGCAAATGGTAGGATTTCTTTCTTTTTATGGCTGAATAATATTCTATTGTGTATATGTACCACCTCTTCTTTATCCGTTCATCTAGTGATGGACACTTAGGTTGCTTCCATTTCTTGGCTATTGTAAATAGTGCTGCGATAAACATAGGGGTGCATATGTCTTTTTCAAACTGGGCTACTGCACTCTTAGGGTAAATTCCTAGGAATGGAAATTCCTGGGTCAAATGGTATTTCTATTTTGAGTTTTTTGAGGAACCTCCATACTGCTTTCCACAATGGTTGAACTAATTTAGATTCCCACCAGCAGTGTAGGAGCGTTCCCCTTTCTCCATATCCTCACCAGCATTTGTTGTTTGTCTTTTGGATGTTGGTCTGCTAACTTGTGTGAGGTGATATCTCATTGTGTTTTTAATTTGCATTTCCCTGATGATTAGCGATGTGGAGCATCTTTTGATGTTCCTGTTGGCCATCTGAACTTCTTTGGAGAAGTGTCTGTTCAGATCTTCTGCCCATTTTTTAATCAGGTTATTTCCTTTTTGGGTGTTGAGGCATGTGAGTTCTTTATGTATTTTGGATGTTAACTCCTTGTCAGATATGTCATTTACAAATATATTCTCCCATACTGTAGGATGCCTTTTTGTTCTGCTGATGTTGTCCTTTGCTGTACAGAAGCTTTTTAGTTTGATGTGGTCCCATTTGTTCATTTTTGCTTTTGTTTCCCTTGCCCGAAGAAATGTGTTCAGGGAAAAGTTGCTCATGTTTATATTCAACCAAGTTCTGGTTTTTAAGTTGGACTCGGTTCAACTCCAGTCAGCTCAGATCCACAGCCTGTTCGTCTGTCCACCAGATGCATGTTGATGCACGCTCCTTTGGTTGGCAGAGATCAGAAGGAATATTCTGCCAGCTTTTGTCAGAGGTTCCAGGATCTCTTAGCTGCAGCAGTCCTGAGGCAAGCAAGGGTCCAGCTAATTGACATTTATCCTGCCCAGTATGCCAGCTTTTGGGGAGGAAAACTTTTTCTTTTATCCTTCTAGGTTGTTTGGCTGGTCTAGTAATTACTTGACATAGGCCAGATTAATAAGAGAAAAACATTTAATTCCATATGTACAGTAGCCCCATGGATTAGACCCAAGGGCAAGTTGGGCAGTCGAGGCTTATATGCCATCCTGAGCTAGAGAATGGGATAGTGGTCTGGGGCTTCAAAGGGGAAGAGGGACAGGGCAGTAAGAAAAGAAGATGTTTGGTTTGTAGTGCCCACTTATCCATGGAGGATATGTTCCAAGACCCCAGTGTATGACTGAAACTGTGGATGGTGCAGAACCCTATATATTACTGTTTTTTACTTTATCTATGATAAGGTTTAACTTATACATTAGGTACTGTAAGAGATTATCAACAATAACTAGTAATAAAATACGACAGTTATAACAATATGCTATAATATTGTTATGTGAATGTGGTCTCTCTTTCAAAATATCTTACTGTACTGTACTCATCCTTCTTGTGATGATGTGAGATAATAAAATGCCTGCAGGATGAGATGAAGGGGTGAATGGCGTAGGCATTGTGACATAGCATGGCTGCCATTGACCTTCTGATGATAGGTCAGGAGGATCATCAGCTTTCAGACTGCAGTTGACAGTGGGTAACTGAAACTGCAGAATGCAAACAAAACCATGGATAAGTGGAGACTACTGTAATTTGATGTTTGCCCTGCCATACAGATAGGTCACTCAGATAAAAGTTGTCTCTGGTTTAGTGCTCTCAGAGCCAGGCTTCCTATGTAAATGCTTATAGGTAGTTAAGGCAAAGGTCAAAGTTCTTCTTGAGTCTACTGGGTCTTGACTGCCTTCAGCTTAAAACAATCCACATGCCAAAGTAGCATATTTTGGGTTATGTGTTCTCCTCACCAGCTCTTGTTCTTTGCCGCATTATGTAATGTCATTTTACTACTTGAAAGTGAAGAGATACACAAGACATGTTTATCTAATCACTTGGCTATTATTTAATCATTTTCTTACTATGAAAAATTCACAAGGTCAAATTTTAAACAAAATCATGTCAGAAAATAAGAATTAGGCTTTGGGGAATTTTTTTTAATGAAATGAAGCAGTTCTATAAAGTAGTTGTTTATATAAAAAGTGCACAAGTGAAAGGAATGCTATACTCTTACCTGTGGCACCTAAGCACTGGCAAATATGGCAGAAGTTGCTGGATTTAACTCAGTTCTTCACCATTTACTAGTCTTCTTATAAAATAATTCTGCTTCAAAATAATTGTTAACATCTAACCTTTCCCCTCTTTTGTGATTTTTAATCCTAGGTGAAATACTGAAGGAAACCTTGGTATTTTTATTGATGCCATTTGCTTGTATCTCATTATTTATTCTGTTAGTAACTTGTCTGCTTTTGTATAAGCAAAAAGCTTTTAAGAAAATGGTAAGTTGTATAACATTATGATGTTTAGTCTGAGATAGTAGATAACAAAAAAATATTCTACATTTAGAACTGATAGCCTACATTTTATAATTTTTTCTGCACACTGTGGGTGTATAATTGATGTTGTATGGATTATGATGATTTCAGAAAATACAGTGATATAAAAAATTAACCCTACAAAGCTACATTTTGGGCTGTATTGACTTTTGTTGAAATATAGGAATAATGCTGTAGATCTTTAAACACTGTTTACCTTTAGACTAGGGGAAAATACAAAGAAAGATTTACAGGTGAAAAGAAGGATTGGGAGAAAGAAAAGAAAAAGAGTGACTAAAAATGAACATAGACTGAAATATATTATGTGTGTGTCACAGGCAAAAGATCACAAAAATTTTTTGATGCCTTCCCTTCAAGAGCATACATTCTAGTTGGAGATAGAATCTATAACAAATGTATCACCTGCATTATGGGTTGATTTTAGATGATTGCTATTTGAGTTGTACTAATGTTCACAGAATTTCACAAAATCTAGAGATCACTGTGGGTTAGGGAGGAATTCTGACTTGTAGAAATATGTCTTAATGCCAGGTCTTTTAAAAATAAAGAACTGTGAATGTATGAAATGTTTCACTTTATTTCTCTGCTGAATACTTTTTTGCTATTTCTTTGAGTTATTACTCTTAAGTGCAATAATTTCTATTGTTGATGATTATTTGTTAATAATGGAGCTCTTTCTTAATTTCAGATTTTTCATACAAAAAAAGAAGTCTTTTCTCATCAAGAGACACACTGCTGAGTCAGTAATTTCCAGTCTTATGGCCAACTGTTAATTATGAATCATTAAATTGTACTTTTTCTCAAATGTTGAATAAATATTACTTTAAATGCATTGTTGTATTTAATTAGGCTCTAGCATACTCAAACCTTCAATTAGTAGCAAATATTCTGGATTCTATTAGCAGGTTTTTTCCCTCATTAATCCATGGTGAGAGTGCTGCACATCAAGGGATGGGCCAGATTCTATTCAGTGATGTATTAATAAAACAATGTGATTTCACAACTTGCACTAAACCAAAGAAATAATTGGTGAAGCTTGGAAGATGAGATTCTAGTTTTTTTTTTAAATTGTACTTGAGATGAGAGTATTCACCATGGATAAGGCTGTTTGGCTTTAAAAGTATCCTGTGGAGAGGATTAATAAGAAGCAGGAAGTTTTAAATACATTCATAGTCTAAATGTGTGCTTCACATTTCTTGAGAAAGGTGAGAGGAATGCAGTGCTTAAAAGGCTAAAAATAATGAAGTGACTAGAGATTATATTTGAAAAATTAAGATGGCACAAACTACCCCGTAAAAGCTTGGGATTTTACTATACTGACTGGTAGACAATGTTTCCTACTTTCTGGTGGCGTGATTTTTTTTTAAATTCAGGAACCAAAAGGCACAAGCCTCTGAAATTAGGACGAGGTCTTTTTAAAGTACATCTAACCTTCAAACTACTACTGACAGTTTACTTCTGGGAGAGAATGTGGCAACCTAGGTGTAGACAGTTGCTTTAAAATTTAGGAAATAATGACCTACAGATTACAGTCTAGAATCAGGTTTTGATTTGGACCAATTTCTGTTTAAATGTGGGCACTCATTACCTTGGAGCTTACTAGAAATGTAAAATCTCAGATCCTAAACCCAGACCCACTCAATTAGCAATCTGAATTTTAACAAAATCCCCAGGTGATTCATTTGCATATTGAACTTGAAAAACACTGATATTTAGAATGAGAAAGATTAAAATAATATAATGGAGAGGTAAGCCCATGGGCAGGGTAACTACAGCCTTGACTATCATTGTCACTGATCATCTATCTTTAAGAGGGGAAAAAGAGCTAAAACGTGTAAACTAGAATACCATCCTCTATTGTTACTTGTAATGAATGATAACAGGCACCATTTCCCTATGTAAACCTCTTCTCATTAAACATTGAAACCTCCACCAGGAACAAAGAAGGACATTTTATAACAATAAAAGGGTGACTCCGTCAGGAAGACACAACAATTATATATACACCTGACAAGACAGCCCAAACATACATGGAGAAGGAATCTGATAGAATTGAAGGGAGAACTACTACACGATAATAATAGATTTCAGTAACCCACTTTCAGAAATGGATAGAATAAGTAGACACAAAATGAATTAGGAAATAGAGAACTTGAACAATAAACAATGTAGATCTAACAGACATCTATAGAACAATATCCAACAGAAGCAGGATACACAGTCTTCTTAAGAGCACGTGGAACCATCTGCAGGATATACTGTGTGCTAGGACATAAAGTTAAATAAATATAAATAGTTGAGATCATATAAAGTATGTTCTCTGAATATAAGAAATTAGATAATGATAAAAAAAATTGAGAAACAAATATGTAGAAATTAACACACTCCTTAATAACTAATGGGTCAAAGAAGGAATCACATGGAAAAGTAGAAAATACTTCAAGAATGAAAACAAAACCAAAACATACCAAACTTATGGGATGCAGCCAAAGCAGTGCTTAGCAAGAAATGTGTAGCTGTAAATTTATATATTAAAAAAAGAGAAAAATGAATCAATAACTTAACCTTCCACTTACAATACTGGAAAAGGAGAGCAAACTCAATCCAAAGTAAGCAGAAGATAGTAAACAGTAGAGCAAAATAAAGAGTATGAAAATGAGAGATAACAAACCAAAACTTGGTTATTTGAAAAGATCAATAAATTGATAAACCTTTAGCTATGTTGATTAAAGGTAGAGAGAAAACTCTTCTGAAAATTAGCAATGGAAAAGGAAAAATTACTAACCTTAGAGAAATAAAAATCATCATTAGGGAACATTATGCCATAAATTTGAGAATTTAGGTGAAATGGACAAATTCCTAGAAAGACACAAATGACTGAAATTGACTCAAAATTTTAAAAACCTTTATAATAAAGAAAAATCACATTAGTGATTTTTGAACTTCTTCCCCAAAATCCTAGTATAGATGGCCTCACTGGTGAATTCTACCAAATATTTAAAGTAGTTCATGCCAGTTTTCCACAAATGCATTCTAAATATTGATGGGGAAGAAACATTTCCCAATTCGTTCTATGAGGCCAGTATTACCCAAATGATGTACTATCTAGATGCCAAAACTAGAGGCAAGTTATTTTGTAGAATTCTGTTTGGTTTGTCCAGTGTTTCCTCATGATGAGTTTCATGTTGTGCATCTTTGACAGGAACATCACAGAAATGCTGTGTTCATCTTGTTGATTTCTATCAGGTGATGCATGGTTTCAATGTGTCCTGTTATTGATGATGTTCATTTTGATCGCTTGATTAAAATGGTTGCTATCAAGTTTCTTCCCTGTAAAATTATCCTCTCCCACCTTGTAATTAATAAGTATTTTGTATTTTAAAGCATGTAAATAGCCCGTTCCTCATGAAACTTTAGATTTATTACTTTATTTATATCTGATTAATTGTCTCGGTTTATTCAGTGAATTGCAATCTGTCACTATCATTATTTGTTTTAATGTTCACATTGTTCCAGATTTGGACAGCAGGAGCCTCTTTAAACTGGCTTCTCTTTTCTTTTGATATATCCCTATCATTCTTCGAGCAATTCCATGCTTTTGGTGCAAGATATTCTGGGCCCATCTTGCACTTTACCTGCCATAACCATGCAATGAACTATTTCTCCAAGAAGTCTCAATTCCTTTCATTGGAAAATGGAATTTAAAAGCCAATATGAGGGCTATATGTAATCATTATTTTCCAGCTCCTCTCACTGGACAGAGTTGGGGAATTTATATGTGTGTGTGTGTGTATTTGTGTACTTACACTGCTCAGGCTCTGATATCACAAATGCTGGACTTCCCCCAACGCATGTACATGTCTTTCTCAATGTGCTCAGACTCTGACAGCCTACTTCAGGCCAATCTTTCACAGGCATGCCCTCCTTACCTTGTTTGGGTTCTGACACCCTGCTCTAGAACTCCCCATGTACAGATAACCTCTTTACTCTGGTCTCTGACTGCCCACACAGGGTTGTGTCAACCCATGCATGTATGCCCTCCTCACATTGCTTGGTCTCTGACTTTCCATGCCAGCCTACCCTGTGGATTTCCTTCTCCACTCCACTCAGTCCCTGACTATACATGCCTGCCCAGTCTCCTATTTGGATGCCCTCCTGACTGAGCTGCTCCCTTGTGCAGAAGCCTGCCTTTCACTCTTGGGCACTGACAGGTCCTAGCATGTCCAGTAATGTAGAATCACTATGTTGTACACTTGAAACCAATATAATATACTTCAATAAAAAAATTATGCAAGGAAAAGTTGCATGAGAAAATTTCTGTAACTGAAGGATTCAGGAATAAACAGGTATTCCTACAAAAAGTTAAAAAAAAATTTTTGTCAGGTTGGGACTACTTTAAATTCTTGGTATGATGTTTTGTGAGACAACTCAGTTAATGTGAATTGAACCTTCTGACCAAAATGAGGCTGGCTATGATTATGAATTCTCAGGGAGGTTTCTTCTATTCACTATCAATGTTCAAATAGGTAATTTAACTTGTAGTCCTTCAATCTCATCTTTCTAGGGGACAAGAGGTTGGGGTGAGTTTAATTCTAGTTTGCCCTTATGCTCGAAATAAACTCTGCTCTCCTGTTTTTTTGTGTGGTCTTCTATTGGATTTTAACCACTTGGTTTTTGCTTCAATTGAGATTCCCTTGATTCTGTGGATGCACATGATCTCATTAATTTCCCTCAGCAATAAAGCCAGCTTTAGTGCTCTGGGTTTATACCCTTGCTCATTCCTTGGCCTGAATATTCTTTAAGTTTTGGCAAATTTTTGATACTTATATAGTACAACTTATAGATACTTAATATTTTTTCAGTATTTTGACTTGTTTTTATTTGAAAGTTCAGTGAAGTCATCTAATTCTCTTTTACTACAAATGACCTACAACTGGACCCATCAACACTACCTCTGAATTCAGTATTTCCCCCAACTCTCTATATTTAATAGTGAAATTCATATATTTTCAGTTTACAGTTTGTATTCTGTTTTATAAAGTAAATACTCTTGAGAAGGTTTCCTGGGCATCTTGCCTTTATTAGTCTTTGGTATCTTAGCATTAATTAATAATGATTTATTTTCTTCTCTCCTTAGCTGAGTACTTTGTACTGAGGGAAAGGAAACTCGGTGGATAGGCTATAGTGGGGCAGCAGATTGGGTGCTTCTGGATATTCAGGAGGTAGTGTGTGGTTCCTTTGCTCTTAGAGGGGGTGATGTTTAGAAAGAGGAATTAGGATACTTTGACTATCCATTTTATTTGCTGAGTCACTTTGACAAAAGCCCTTCACTTCTTAACAAACTAATGAGTATAAAGATACAGGTGACTGATAGCAGCTTAAAGAATAAATTCACTAACAGGTCCATCCAACTACACAAAAATAGAAATCAATAGTTCCAATCCATGAATCTTTCCAGGTCTGTGGACAGGGCACCTGTTGCACAGCAGGCCACAGGAATTGCTTATCCTCAAGGAAACCTAGGGTCAGAGGGTCAAGATATGGGGCAATTCTCCTTGTTTTTCTATTATAATTATAACAATAAGCTGGACAATTAAATCATTTCTACTATCTGAGAATAATAGGAACTATTAATTTATATGCTCATGATATTTTGGGATGGTGTTACACTCAAATCTAGACCATTAATGTTCTTTCTAATCCATAAGTACATTTACTTCATCTTGTCACAAGTCTCTTCCCTACCAGAATATCAAAACCTTTGAAATCCTTACTCTTAGTTCTTTTCCTCAAGAGAACAGCTTCATTAAAGAGACATACATTTTC